AGCGGCGCGCTCGGCGGGAGGGGACCCCCGCGCGCCCGGGGCCAGCCGTCCAGGGCCCCTCCCCGGGCGCCCGCCGCACCTGCCCCGAGCCCCAGGCCGCTCCACCGGCTCTGCACGACCACGACGGGGAAGAGGATGGGGGGTGCTCCGCCACGCTGAGTGGCCGTGGGTGACTCATTGGCTTCTCTGAGCTTCCTCCGCGGAGGGTATCGGTAATGTCAGTGCCGCTGCTGTCCCCAGAACAGACACCCAGACCCAAGGCCAGCATCAGAGGGACTCGGACCCTCACAGGAAGTACCAGTGTGGGGGGGGACCCTACAGATGGGGACCTTGCAGACCAAGTCGTGTGGCCTGCAGCCCACTGACACCGCAGACCTGGGGACCGTGGCCTGCAGCCCCCTGACACCGCAGACCTGGGACCGTGGCCTGCAGCCCCCTGACACCGCAGACCTGGGACCGTGGCCTGCAGTCCCCTGACACCGCAGATCTGGGGGCATGTGGTCTGCAGTGTGAGAACTGTGCTTCAGCCCTGATCCAAGAGGTGGTAGTTGCCAAGGTGGCTGGGGTGGGATCAAGCCCGACCCCATGGGAACCGGTGTGGTTTTTAACAAACCCCTACTCCAGCGTTGTGGTGGGCCTGGGTCCAGGCGTCTCAACGTCACCCTGCAGGCCAGGGAAGCAGCCTGCACTGGACATGAACAGGCCCCAGGACCACCAGCCTCTGACTGTGGGGGATCGTCAGAGACCTTGGGCAGCTCCTGGGGCCCACCCTCCTACCCATCCCAGCAAGGCCACCCAGGCTGGAGCTCCCAGGCTGCCTGGGGCTGACCCCCGACCCACTGACCCCAGCCCTGGCCCCAGCAGGCTGGCGGGGCGTTGCTCAACCTTCGTGTTATCTGCTAAGCTGGGGTGACCTCCGCCCCCAAGAGCTGTAGAAGCTGTAGAAATGACATCTCCCGGTGCCCTTGGGGGTGGGGGGCAGGGAGGGACGGGGTAAGAAGCTTGTTTGCCCTGCCTGCCTGCCTGCGGCTTTCTGGCCTTCCCAGCAGCCTCTGGGCAAGGAAAGGATCCTGGCCCAGAGAGGCGTGATGACATCCCCAGGGCCACCCAGCCAGGCCTGGCTCTGAAGTGGGACACTGGGGCTCAGCTGGAGGGTCCTCCCTATCCACCCCTGCTCCTGAACTGCTCCCAGCCTCTCAGCCACACTAGCCCAATGGTCTTCTCTCCCTCAGTTTCCCCCCAGCAGTGGGCTCCAGGAGGGCCCTGATGGAGTGGAAGTCCTGGGCCCAGTGTACTCCCTACTGGCCAGTGGATGACCACACTTCCTGTTCTCCCTGGACAGAACACTGCCCTTCAGCACTGCTCCAGGCCCCTCCTCGGATCTCAGCCAGCTTGCCCCTCCAGGAAGCCCTCCAGGACTTCCTATTACCAGTCCCAGGCCCCCAGACACTCTTGTTCCACTTCTCCGTTGTCTTGACTGGCAGACCTGTCTCACCTGGCTGGCTGTCCCTGCTCCCATTCCTTATGTTAGCTACTTCAGGCGGGGACTTTTCCTTTCCTTCCTTTATGTTTGTATTTATTTTTTGAGACAGTAGTCCTGGCTGGTCTCAAACGCATCAAGTAGATCAGGCTGCCCTCCAATTTACAGAGATCTGCCTGCCTCTGTCTCCCAAGTACTGGGATTAAAGATAAAGGCCAAGCTGGGCCTTTTTCATTCATTTGGTTATTTATTGAGCAAGAGTCAGTTCTCTCCTTCCACTGTGTCGTCCTGAGAATCGAACTCAGGTCCTCAGGCTTGATGGCAAGCTCCCATACCCAATGAGCCATCTCACAGGTCCAACTTCTCTTTCTTTTGCTCACTGTTTGAGCTGGGTGGAGTGGCCTCAGATAAACTGGCTCTCCCCTCTGAGTCTTTCCCAGCATTTCAGGGTTCTGGAGAGATACAGTAAGGCCAGGGGGGCACATAATAAGTACATCTGCTGTGTGCCCTTAGCCAGTCCTCTACCCTCTCTGAGCCACATAAAATGTCATGTCATCCTCCTGGTCATTTGTAGAAGGTCCTGTTATCTGTACTTTACAGAGGAGGAAACTGAGGCTCAGCACAGCTAAGTGTGTTGGCTCAAGGTCACAGTAAAGAGAGGTTCAGGGATAAAGTCTTCCCAATGGGGTTGTGATAAATTCTAACAGTGTGAGCCCCATTATCTGGATGGAAAAGTTCAAGAGAAGGATTCAGGGTGATGCATAGACTCAAAGGGTGACTGGGCCAGACTGGGCCCCCACAGAGCTGGGTTCTTTGCCAGGGCTCACCTACCTAGGGCTCACCCACCCAGGACTCACCCACTCGGAGCTCACCCAGGTGTCCTGCCAGGAGGCGGGCACCCTGGTTCTCCTAGGCTCCTTGTTCAACAGGCCCTGCCTGCTGACTTGCCAGCCCTGCCAGCCCTTCCCCAGGCCCTGAGGCCCCAGCCGGCCTTGTCCATCCAGGGCCGACTCCTCCCCTCTCCCAGCCCTCACTGGGCTGGTGTTTGGAGGAACGTGGCCTGGATAGGTCCCAGTTTGATAGACTGTGGCCAGACCAACACACAGATAGGTTAGCATGACACCATCACAGTGTGCTTGGGTTTGGGTCATTTTGTTTTATGTTTTATTTGTTTTATTTTTGCAGTACTGGAGTTGGAAGCTAGAGCCTTGCATGTGCTAAGCAAGAGCTCTCCTGAGCTACGTCCCCAGTCCTGTGTTTACTCTTTATTTTGAGACAGAGTCTTGATAACTTGCCCAGACTGGCCTTGAACTCACTCTGTAGCCCAGGCTGGCCTCAAACTTAATGATCCTCCTACCTCAACCTTCAGAGTGGCTGGGAAAACAGGCCTGTTCCACAAGGCCTAGCTGTTGCTTTAAGTGACTTCGTTACTAACATTAAAAATTGGAGACTTCTGCCAGACATGGTGGTGCACGCCTTTGATCCCAGGACTCAGGAGGCAAAGGTGGGCTGATCTCTGTGAGTTCAAGGCCAGCCTGGTTTACATAGTGAGTTCCAGGCACCGGTGGCCCAACACGGGCTGATGAGGAGGGGCAGGGACTGCTGTTCCTGCAGGGACCCTCCTTGCTGTGGTTCTATGACCATTTCCCTGCCCCTCCAGCTCAGTCCCTATGTATGGCACGTGATATGGACCCCACCTCTGCAGCCCCCCAACCCCGTGAAAACCCTACACAGAAGGCTGGTGGGGAAACTGAGGCTACAGTGGCTCAGGACTTCCCCTCACAGTCACAGTGAGCTGGTGAAGGCCAGACCCCCTGCCCCCATGTGAGGGAAGAGCCCAAGGCCCATTCTTGCCAGGTCCTGGGTTCAAAAAGCAAAGAAGAAAACCATCCCATGCCTCCTCCCTGAGGCCTCACTTTCCCCATGAGCCAGAGCACTGAGAATGGGACAATCTGCAGTCCCAGGTTTGGAGTCCACCGTGGGAAAGGCCACCGGTGAAACTTGCCTGTGTATATGCTGCCCCCATGTGGCAGAGCCCGGGACTGCAGAAAGGACTTAGAGGTATCCCTTACGTGGAAAACAACCCCAGGCCTTGATGGCTGAGGGTGTGAGCAGGCCACTAAGAGAAACAAAAATGTCCAGGACACATGGTAAAGGACACTCAACCTTTGTGTAGTCATTCATAAACTGTTTTAGATATGGTTCAGACCCTTAGAAACACATTCATCACTGAGGAAGTTCAATTCCTGTTGGGAGTTGGACTTCTGATGGAAGACAAATGCAAACCAGGATACATGGTCAAGTCTACACTGTTTGATTCGGGTAAACAGGAGGAGGGGGAGCAGGAGTATTTGGGGAATTTAAATTTGGTAGGTTACAGTGGTCCAGGAAAGCCCTCTACAGGTGACATGTGCATAGACACCTGCGGATCAGCCCAACAGAACTTTCTGGCATGCTGGGGATATCCTCTTCCTGGCCACATCAGCCACATGTAGCTCCTGAGACCTGCCTGGTGCAGTGAAGAAATGTTTTTATTGAATTTTTGTGTAGTTGGTTTGGGTTGGTTTTTGTTTTTGTTTTTGTTTGGGGGGGGTTGTTTTGTTTTGTTTTTGTATTTTTGAGATCCAGTCTCCGTGTAGCCCCAGCTAGCCTGGAACTCAATATGTAGACCAGTCTGGCCTCAAACTCAGAGCTCTGCCTGCCCCTGCCTCCTGAGTGCTGGGATTAAAAGCATGCATTACCACCCCCCCCCCTTGATTTTGTTTTCTTGAGATGGTAGCATGTAGTCCAAGCTGGCCTTGAACTCCTGATCCCCCTTCCTCTACCTCTCCAGCGCTGAGATGGTAAATCATGTACAACCACACCCAACTTGACTGGTAACCACTGTACTGAACATCACACATCTTAATTATCTCTGTTATCTATTGTTAGTTGGGAAAAAAAGCCAAGCCTAGTGTGGTGTGTGAATCTGGTGTGTGCTTGTGGGAGGAT